GAGTTTATTTCAGAGTTTTAGAGAGAAATTACTTTGTCTGTCTACATAAATGCATTTAAAATTGTAGTTAAAGACTTGAACTACGAATCTTAAGAATTTGCTGACTTTTTGCCAATGTTCATGTGGCATGCAGGAGTACAAACTCTCTGAAAGCAAAATTGTGCTGAAGTAAGTCTAATGTGCATTCTGACATTTCATTGCCTTGCATCAGTGTTTGGAAAGATCTCACTGGCAGTCTGAATGCAGTCAGATCCAAGAGGGCTTCTTCATCTTTTGGGGGGAAACTTTGGAGGACGTGAATGTCCTTTATGTTTCAGATCTTGTTATGCTGATGTTTAAATGTAAAACTAATATCTGGTTATAATAATAAAGGCTATGTTGGTTTTTAGATTTGGTTATAAGCTAAACTCTTAAGAGCCTCTATTTTGCATTTAGGATGTTCCAGTGATTGGGAAAAGTGGAAGGAGTTTTAGCTACAACCAAGATGTAGTTGTACTTCTCTTAATAGATGGAGTCTTGTTCCACCTGCAAAGTGTTACAGCCTATGCCCTGATGGGAAAAATTTCTCCTGTGACTTTCAGGTAAAACTTCATTTCCGTGCCAGGAATGCTTATGTTTATTTTCCTTACTCAATATTTCTGCTTAGAAACCAAGTAGTAAGAGTACTGTGCAAAGAAATGGGTAAATGCACAAATGTGTGAAATGTTAGAACAAATTTTTTCACATCCACATCATGAAAAGCTTTTGGACTGCTTGCTCAAAGTGTGAGAAGAGCAGCATTTGGCACGTGCTGTTGAAGCTGTGGAACAGGTGCTGACATTTGCTGTGGTGATAATAAGGCAATACCTAAAGATAGCTAATTGCAGTACAGAAAATGGTCAGTCAGCTCTGTACAACTGTTTCTGAGGCGTGACACCAGCACGACAAGCTACGCTTTCTGTAATACTTGTGTCTTTTGAAGATGGCTCCTCCTTTGTTGTCAGTTATGGGCAGCTTCGTTAGGCTCCTGCACAATTCTGGTGCAGTGATGAATACTCTATAACCTGAGCAGTAACAGCACACTCAGAAATGGCAGTTATGTTGGTGGTGTTGTGTTGGTATTGTCTGAGTGTCTGTTTTAGATAAAAATGAACTGCTAATGCAAATAGCATGCAAATGCATGCTTAAAAATAACAAAGAAACCAAACTCTGAGGTGACTTACTAAGTCTAAAGTAAAATATCTTTGAAGATATTAGTGCCAGTAGACAAGCACTGTGGCTAGAGGATTACTGAACTAGGAAAAGTGGAATCTGATTGGTATTTAAAAGCTAGCAAAAGAGATCTCCTAAATGAAGACATGATTATGTGTTCCTACACTTCATACAGGAGAGATTTCTTTGGCCTTAACTTCTGAAATTCCTTTCCAGTGTTGCCAGTACTGTGAAGCACGCACTGTCAATCTGGCTAAGTATTATTGTGTTTGGTAACAAAATCACAAGCCTCTCAGCCATTGGGACTGTTCTAGTGACGGTGGGAGTTCTGCTTTACAACAAGGCAAAGCAGCATCAGCAAGAAACTATACACAGCCTGGCAGCTGCAGCCCCACAGCCTGCACCAAGTACAGCTGAAGATACTGAGCCACTGATTGCCAAGGATTTGAAACCATATGATTGATATGACCACTCATTCGTACAACATTGTACAACTCAAAGGGACTCCTGCCAGAAGTGACTGTTTCTGTGACTGTTGATGCTGATGTGGTTCCTTTGAGGTTCACAGCAAGTCAGGCCTGGGACTTGAAGCAGAAAGAGAACGATGACAAGAACCCAGGAAGCCTTGATTTTTCTGAGAAACTGAAATAGCAGAGGGCCTGGTGTTATTTAATGTGGTGAACGTGGGCTTTTTGATCTCTTGACTGCAAAAAAAACCACACAAGCCTGTATTAGAGAAAGAACTTTGGTGTCTTGTAGGAAAATTCTTGCTTCCTCCTTGCCCAGGAAAACAATGTGAAAACTTTGGCCCGTCACTGTATTTGGCTTTCTTGCAGTGGAATGAAATTTCAAAGTGTTATTACTGTATGCTGCATCCTCCATTATCTGTTTGTGTTGCAGAGCTGGAAGAAGGAACCCCTCCCTTCCCCAGCTCATGTCTCAGCAAATGGCTTATTTTGGTAAAGCCCTCGTTAAAGTAAATTACAGACATGAGTCCATGTCTCAAAGCACAATGAGCCACTATTTCCAACTACAAAACTAGCAGTAGATAGTCTTTTTTTTTTTTTTTTTTTTTTTTTTTTTGCTGAAACTCAAAAGGGAAATCTTTCATCCTGGTTATGTATTTACAGTATTGAAATGCAAGTGCACAGACAGTTGTACTGTGTAAACAGTGCTGAAGTACATATTTGCAGTTGCTTGCAGATTATCACCAAAACCTGTGATTTTGGTGTGATAAGTCTGGATATCTGTATTTCTATCAGAAACCATTTTAATATCTGAATTTCCTGCATTTTGTTATGTATTTTTTAATGAGGAATTGAGCTTTTATTTTGTAGCATTGTTTGTAGGACTGCAATGAAAGTACTGCCTTTCAGAAACTCAGGGTTATTACCCTATGTACAAAATATTTCTGACATTTCCAGTTATGTGAGGAATCTTGGGGGTATCTGACAAAGCTGGAAGGGGACCACGAGCTGAGGCTAATCTGAGAATTCTTCCTTTTTTGGAGAAGTTACATTTCATGGCTGACTGGAGGTTAAAAGCCAACTTCTTGCCTTCCCTTTAAGGAAACCTGAAATTTTATTCCTTTGTTTTTGCAAATCAAGCACATGTACCTACAGAACCCATCACGTGGGCTTTTTGATAACAAAATTAACAAAATGAGCTGATTTTTAATAATTTCCTGTTTTGAAAGAGTGTAGCTTGGTGTTAAAAGCCTGGATTTAAGTGTTCTTTAGGGTAAAATACAATTTCTAATAGGAAGTTGCATGCGGAGTTCTTTGGACATTTCAGCTCCTGCTCACGCTTCCCATGTGAGGTATTCCATGAGCTTGAGTTCCTGGGGAAGGCAAACGTGTCCCCAGGGCAGGCAGTGTGGGGGAGCCTGGCCTCAGGATCAGTTTGAGCAGCAGCTCAGGTTTATCCCTGGCTGTGGATGTTTGCTTTGAACAGAAGGGAAATGTCCATTGTTTTCATCATTGTGTGATGTCTGTTCTGTTGCGTGGTTTTGGTGCGTTGTCACTGCTCATATTGCTTGCAAAAAAAAAAAAAAAAACAAAAACAAAAAGCTGTGGTCTGTGAAATGGAGATCTGAGATCTGTTTTTCAAGTTTTTCTTTATGCTTTTCAAGAATCTGTGTATTTGGCAGAAAACGTTGTTTTGCAGCATGTTTTTACTCTTGTGGGAGGGCTGAGATGTGAGTGGCTCTCTGGTCATCTAACAGCCTTCATGCAGTGCCCTCCACCACCACAGCTTTGTCTTGGGAAGCTGGCAGACTTTGCATTTCCTATTAATGGAGAACATCTGTGGAGCCACACAGCTGGGAAGGACTTGGGAACTGTAACTCCTACCAGGTGCCCCTGGTTACTAGCAGCAGCTGGAGCCCTACCTGTTGTGGCAGTGTGACAGTTTAGGTGTGCTGGGGTTGTTTGCACTGTGCTTTCCTCCTGTACTTTTCAGTGCAGACTCTTTGGTCTCTGTTTTTACCAGACTGGGCAAATCTGGCTCTTCTTCCAGCCGTTCTTCTTAGCTCTTCCTTCTACTGAACCAACAAGGACCACTCTGTTCCATGCTAAGCATTCCTTACAGCCTTATGCCTGAGCTGTCTGCCTTTTAAATGCTTTTGCATTTGAAGTCCTGGAAAATTCCTCCCCAGAAGCACCTCTATTAGAGCCTATAGATCCCACCCATCATCCAAAAGGAGCAGACTGCTTTGCACACCACTTTGGGGCTGTCTGGATTAAGAAGCAGGCCCTGAGCGGGTGAAACTTCAAAACCAGCTCTCTAGTTCTCATCCCTCGTTGGAAACAGTGCAAACTTCATGTTTTCATGAGCAAGGCACCATCCACGCAGTGGAGGGCACCCACAGTCACAACGCAGTGGCATTGCTTTGGTGGATGGATGTGCAGCTCTGCCCTGGCACATCACACAGTGCCTGAATACCTCGTTAACACGGCACTGCTAATAACTGGGATTCCTGCAGGTTTGACACACAGCCCTCCGAGGCTGGCGTTATTTCAGCACTGAGCAAACTTCACTTTGGGAAGCAACAGAGCTTTGCTGCTTATGTCCAGCCGGCACCACTGGTTGACAGAAGGAGGTTAACGCTGCTGGAACAACGCCACTCCCGGCGAAAAGGACGGACGACGCCGTATCTCAACGTAGCGCTCGTAACGCGCCTCGTGAGCTCCGGTCCCGAGCGCTGAACGGGTCGGGCTCCAGCTGCCGGCACCGCGCCGTGACAGCCGTCAGCTCTGCACTCACGCATCGGGAACGAATAATAAACCGGCTCGCTGTGGTCGGCGCTCTTTCCTACGCCGTTAAGGCCGAGCCGTTGGATCGCCGCAGTGCCGGCGACGGGGCGCGGATCCGAACGGCGACCACCGGGAACGGCTCCGCACCGCCGCGCCGTGCGCGTGACGTCATCAGCCGGCGGCGGAAGTGACGCTTTGTGCGGCGCTGCCCGTCGGTGTCCGGTCGCGGCGGCGGTGAGCGGGCCGGCGGGGCGCGGTGCGGGGCGGGGGGAGGCCGGGGCCGAGGCCGGGCGGCGGTGCGGGGCCGCGGGCCTCGGGCTGAGGCGGGGCCGGACGGGGCGCTGCGGGGGGATCCGTGTGCGATCCGTGTGCGGGGAAGGAGTCGGTGCGGCGCGTTGATTAAAGCAGGAAGCGCAGCGTTTCCGTAACGTCTCGTTCTTTTTTTTCTT